AATTTCATATATTCCTTAGCAATCTCAGTTTTAGGGATAGTTGACTTAATATTCTTTGCTAAGGTCATCCGCATAAACATTAGGCTTAATCTCTTTGATATTTTCCAAACCTTATGGAAGGATCTTTTCATCAGCACTGCTCTTATCAGTGAGATCAACAGGTTTCTCAACTTGAAATGCAAAGTCTAAGTCCAAAACACCTAAATTGAACGGGATTTGTTCACACCAGTTAGAGAAATTGAGCACATTGAACAGTGGTACAAATAAAACATGCGAATGCAGAGAAACGGGAATAGACACTGCAAAATATAAAATGCTCTAACATTAATGCTTTGAGTTTTGACTTAAACACTTAAATTCAGATTCATATAACATTAAATGTATACCGTAGTTCTCCTTTGGGTGATACTACGTTATACCATCATAATAAATATAATGATACTAGTTGATTTCACTTAATTGGTAGTTAAATATATCCTAATCAGACATGTCTGTCATATTTGGATATACAAAACACATCCAACTAAATGTATCAATTAACTACGATTATGTTCAAGCTTAATAAAATTAATCGATCAGCCTTTGAGCGATCCATAACAATTTTATAATCTATGAACATCAATATACTCTTGACAACAATAATAATAATGTCATATTCATTCATAAACATCAAATTATCAAGAATAATTGACAAATAAATTATGTAATTTGGCGTTCGCAATATCATAATGTTTGGCCACTTTGGTGACTAACAAACAACATTAATCGAACATTAATTACATAAACAAAACATTTATCACTTAATGTTTATTTACAGATTGATGATAAATGAACAAGTCACATAAAGGTAATTTGTTAAACTAATTAAAATCTGAAAATGAGTGGCCACTAACCAAAAACAGTTAAAGAAAAGTTTATATTACTCTCTATCCTCCTCCCATAATCAGTGATGCATAAAAAATTATATCGTTCTCACATATTCAATTATAAACCCATTATGAGAATCCGAAATCCTTAGAAAAATGAGTACTGGTAATATCTTTCCTTCAATTAATTGGTTTGCGTTATTGCGTATATCAGTACGTTTTAATGTCCCTTATCTTAAAGAACGAGGCCCAATTGCCATACAATTCGTGGACAGTAAAACATATAAAGCGTGCTAGTAATTTTAATGCACATATTCAAAGGCAAACAAAAGATTAAATTTCTGGGCGACTTGCAATTTCTGGTGATTCCCTTCTAACATTATTTTAGATATTGATTCATAAATCGAAAAGAACAATTAAAGATCGATAAATGAAAAGCAATAATCTTTAAAGGAAAATCAAAAATTCCTTAACTTGGCTCTGATATCACATGTAAGAATTATATAATCCTAATACCAAGATCTTTAGAATTCATAATTTTCACATATAAATTAATTGATCAAGAGACATACCATGATTCATAGCAATAATTGAAAGATTTAAACCAACAAAATAGAAACGAATAAAATCTAGAAACTGTTCTATCTCTTTTCCTCACTATAATTGAATTAGATAATTTGATGTGTTTTATTCACTTTTATAGGCAGAGAGAGGCAGTCCAAAAGTCATGCAGTCTAATGGTCATGAAAAAACTATTCACTTTCCATCAAAGTGGATATCTATAAAATACTGCAACTTCTCAATGGACTAATAGAATTTTAATAATAATATTTGGACCACATTAATTGGTTTTACAATTACCTGGCATATACGGTGATGACAGAATGAACACTCAAATTCAAATGTCCATTTCATATCTCATAAAGAAAAAGATTAGATCAATTGGGACTGCCCATGTGTTTCTTTGACAAAATAATTTAAGGATGATGTAATTGTTCAATAATTTATGCCAAGAAACCATTTTTAGTCCCAAGTTGTTTTTCATAATAATAGTATAAAATCGACGATAAATATATGTGTTACCTTTTATAATTCACCTAACTCTATGTTTCCTTTTATTTTAT